CAGTACTAAATGGTCCAAAAGTATCCGATAAAAGTTTCTATCTTGACACCACCAAAAGATAGACTAAGGTGCTATGATTTCAAATGTCATGTAAAGTATTATGGTGCATGTGTTTTGTAATATGCATAATTAATTAAATTGTCATAAGAAACTTTCATCAATTATCCAATACCTAAAGAGTCTTGAAATCAAAATGTAACTTTTTTATTTCTTTATTTTTTGTTTTCAACTCCAAGTGAGTGGTTCAATTGGTAAGTTTTTGGTTCTGAAGTCTCATGAAATATCAGGTCGGTCACGTCCGCATGTAAAAGTCTAAAGTTTAGTCAACTTGTAGTTTCACTTTAGAATTGTGCAATTTAGCTTTAAATTTGTTTGTCATAATTTTTATAACGACATGTTAGCATGTACAACCAGAAATATTCATATGTAGTAGAAGCCAAATTAACTACTATTATTATTTTTAATTTTTCTTTTCCACAGGCAATATAATTTCTTTAAAATAGGGCAATTAATTAAAAGAACTTAAGGGGCCTTAATTATTAAGGTCCTCTCCTCCCGTTAAGTGTAAATTAGTTTTGGGAACCAAAATTAGATGCCCCTTAATTATTTTTTATTTTTTTTAGCAAATTAGGAAGAGGAGAGATTTTAACACAAACACACTCGTTTAGGGAATTGAACTCCCTACCAATTAGCTATTGAGGAATGCCCTATAAGCCCCTTAATTAGTGAACTAAGAACACCTATTTATTTTTTTTGATTATACTTGGTTCAACTTTGTTAGTGTCTTATTTTCTTTTTGATTTTATATGCTTCACATTATTTCTTTCCCTTTGTGTGTCTCGGATACTTAATTATATATTAGTATTATTAACGTACTCTGCCTATTTTATAAAACTAAAAATTAAGCATTGAATTGAATTATCAATTCACAACACCTTAATAACTTAATTATATATATAAACATATTTAGTTTTAAATGACTTCTCCCTTCTTTTTTTTTCTTTTTTTTTAAAAAAAAAAAAAAAAAAAAGAAGAACAAGAAAGAAGATAAGGAACCTTTGATTGTTTTTTGAATATTGAGTTATCAGTCTTTGATTGTTTTTGTTTTTCTTTGTTATTTCTTCTGATTTTTGTTTTACATTGTTTTCACAACTATATTTGTTTTACTCTCAACTTGAGAAAATGATTCCACCTTTTTCTTATGTTAATTTGAAGTCTCTTAGAGTGCTTCATATTTCCAACAACTATATCAATTTCATGCATTTTAGATTTCCGAGAATATTTGGATAATTTTATGGTCCCATTCCAAAAAAATTGGGTGAGATCCTTATTCATACTATAGTTCATTGATATAGTTTTTTAATCTTATTTTATCGATAAACAAGTGTCATTGTTTTAATTAAAGAAAGATTTAATGTAATGATTGAAATTACATATAAGATTAAATCTTTTTTAATCTTATACTTTTAATTAAAGAAAGATTTTAAAATCTTTGTTTTTAAAAAATTCAATGTAATGATTGCAATTACATATAAGATTAAATCTTATATAATATATATACTATTATTGTATTATATATTTTATTGTATACAGTACGTGTGTTTGTGTATACACACATATATGAGATGGACATTTGATAAAACAATTAGATGGATAAAATTATATTTTAATTATAAAAAATAATTTAATGATATAAAATAATAAGCTTTTATCTCATTTCGTCTTAAGAAAGTCAGTGTAATTTACTTTCTTTTTTAATATTATTGTTTTTATTTTTTATTTTTTTGGCTGGCACTAGAACTCACCTGAGCACAGCTCCTTCGGGACTCACTTCAGTCTACAAATCGAGGATGCTATAGATTTTAATATTATTATTGGTGTTATTTTAACTTAGCTTTTATTCTTTATAATTTTATCGTAATAGATGGATAGCAAGAAAATGAAATCTCATATGACCGTGGACTCACCCGTGAAACACATTGGGGTGCTTTCTAAGTCAACCAGTCTTTAATGTTATCTGCTTTTTAAAATTCTCACATTGGATTATTAAGTCAAGTCAACAACCATTACCATCCTTGTGGGTCCATTATTACATGGACATGGTACTATTAGCGTGGTCAATTACAAGGTCACATATAAAGGTCGATTGCATTTTTTTATTTACTTATCATCATATGGTTGGTCGAATAATCTTAACATCATATAATAATTTTTCATTCAAGTGGATCAAAAGTATTAAATGAATCTTTTTTTCCGATGGAAAGCTCCCAGACAGTAACAAGTGGTCCAAAAGTATTCGATAAAAGTTTCTATCTTGACACCACCAAAATATAAATTAAGGTGCTATGACTTCGAGTCTCATGTAAAATATTATGGTGTATGTTTTTTGTAATAGGCATAAGTGACTAAATTTTCATAAAAAACTTTCATCAATTATCTAATACCTAAACAGTCTTGAAATCAAAATGTAACTTTTATTTATTTATTTTTTTTTTGTTTTTAACTCGAAGTGATTGGTAAGTTTTTGGCCCTAAAGTCTCATGAAATATTAGGTCGGCCACGTTCGCATGTAAAAATGTGAACTTTACTTTACTTGTAGCTTCGCTTTAGAATTATGTAATTTAGCTTTAAATTTGTTTGTCGTGATATTTATAACAACATGTTAGTATGCAGAGCCAGAAATATTTATATGGAAAAGCCAAATTAACTACTATTATTATTTTTAATTTTTCTTTTCCACAGGCAATATAATTTCTTTAAAACATGGCAATTAATTAAACAACTTAAGGGGCCTTAATTATTAAGGTCCTCTCCTCCCGTTAAGTGTAAATTAGTTTTGGGAACCAAAATTAGATGCCCCTTAATTATTTTTTATTTTTCCTAGCAAATTAGGAAGAAGAGAGATTTTAACACAAACACACTCGTTTAGGTAACCAAACTCTTTACTAATTACGCTAATGAGGAATGCCCTGTAAGCCCCTTAATTAGTGAATTAAGAACACCTATTTATTTTTTGTGAAATTGGTGATTGGTAGACTTAGTTTTCCGGTTGGTTAAAGTTTTGTGGGCGGTTTAAGCATCTTCATTTCCAAATGGGCCCAAATTATACTTTTCTAGTCAATGACATATATATATATATATATATATATATATATATATATATATAGAGAGAGAGAGAGAGAGAGAGAGAGAGAGAGAGAGAGATATCGTAAGTGGTCCTATTTTGGTTTTGTTTTTATTTTTTTATTTCTTATCAAATTCTTAAATTTTTTATTTTCCTTTATGTGCCTGGGACTCCTAGTTATATATATATATATATATATTTGAGTACCAAATAATTTTACAACTTCAACTCCTTAAAGTTTTCAAAATTGCTAATTAAGTAGTGAAGTTAGTAATGTGTAATACATAGTTTACAAAAAATTCATCTGAAATAATAATAATAAATAAAGCAAAGAAAGGTAATAAGAAAAATGTTATAAAAACAGATTTTTGACTTAAATGATTATAATAAAAAAGTTGAATATAGTTAATTAACTTAATTGTGGTTGCATCCATGTATGATTAAGTACTTAATCCATCTTCTATATTATATTTGATAGTTTCTTTGTATCTTCCTACTTTTTAAAAATTTTTATTTTATTTTATTCTGATGTTGGTGTTGATAGTCAAGTCTTCATTCCAAGTCTTCATTCCAAGTCTTTTGATCATTCTCAGCCTCAAAAACAGGAAAATGACACTACCATGTGCTAAAAAGTGATACTTCCATCTTCATTTCTTGTTTTCAAGTATAATTCTGATAAACTTCTCATATGGTGCTACTTAGTTGAGTCTAATAATATCAAGCAACTTTAATATATTTCTCTATGTTCTTTTTCTAATTTTCATATTTAATGAAATCAAAATCAAAGAAAGCGTATTGCCTATACGCTAACTAATTTTTGTTTTCACTGACAAGTTTATTGACTACATTATCTAATCGATTTAATTTTAATGGCAATTGCTTGCTAAAAGTGAAGACTAGTGCAATTGATTATGAAAGGTGTTCACAAGCATCTAATAAGTTTTCGAATTTGAGATGTGCAGCAACATGTGTCATTGTCACTTTGGAATTGTGCAATAAGCCTTCTCAATAGAAGACTCCAAGTCAAGTCAATGAAGTTATTGGACATAGCCATATGACATGTGGGGAGAAATTAATTATTAGATAATTTTGGTTCATTTGATACTTTGTTGCCTAATTTAATAAAAGTTAATATTGAGATTTCTTTATAATTTAGTTGTGGTTCTATTTTCATTTTGTTTTTATTTGTTATTTCTTGTTAAATTTTTGATATTTTTATTTCTCTTTATGTATCTGAACTACCAGTTATATATATTATACATACACACTTTGAGTACCAAATAATTTTACAGCTTCAACTCTTCAAAGTTTTCAAAATTGCTAATTAAGTACTGAATTTAGTAATGTTTAATTTACGGTTTACAAAACAACTCCTCTAAAATAATTATAATAAATAAAGCAAAAAAAGATAATAAGAAAAAAGTTATACAAACAGATTTTTGACTTAAATGATTATAATAAAAAAGGTTAAATATAGTTAATTATAATTGCATCCATATATAATTAAGTACTTGAAGTTAAACAGATTATGTTTTTGTATCTTATTATCTTTTTTATTGTTATTTAATGTTTTTTTTACGCTAACGTTGATGTTATAAGTCAAGTTTTCTAAGACTAGTGGTCATTCTCAGCCCCATACTCAGACAAGTGGAACTTTTAGAAAATAAAAAAATCCATGTTTAATTTCTGTTATTCAAGACTTTGGTTTTGCAATTGGCGTTGACAATGAAATGAGTGAACAGTATCCCAAGTCAAATTGGATGGATCCATTATCGTGGCAGGAAGTTTGTGGTAGGCAGTTGATCTTCATTTCTACATGGGCCCCACCCATTGGTAAAAGATCCAGAAATGAAGGTATATACAGTGTGTATATATATAATGTCTGAGTTTTCTTTTACATATATGATCAACGAATTTGATATCATAAATTTGTAATCAGATAGAATTGAAGATGATGATGATGAGGAGCCGCATAGCGCTTGTCACGCTTTGGCTGCTATCATTCTCAACTGCCCTATTATTATTATGTGATGGTACTTCACATGGAGTTTGCAGTGAAAAAGAAAAAACAGCTCTTCTCAATTTCAAACAAGGTATCAGTTGGGATCCTTCCAACAGGCTATCCTCATGGTCTGGACTCCAACAAGATTGTTGTACTTGGACTGGAGTCCGCTGCAACAATGTTACTGGTCGAGTCATCCAGCTTCACCTCTCCAATCCATACAATCACTTTGATGAAACGCAATTGTTGGGTGGGAAGATTAGTTCATCTTTGGTGGAATTAGAATCTCTGATTTACTTGGACTTGAGTATGAACAATTTCAGTGGTTCTACTATTCCAAGTTTCTTTGGTTCTATGCCGAGTTTGAGATATCTCAACCTCTCTTATGCTTATTTTGAGGGATTGATTCCTCATCAACTTGGGAATCTCTCTGGGCTTCGTGTTCTTGATCTAATTTCTAATAATGATCAACTTTATGTTGATGACCTTAGTTGGACTGCTGGTCTTCATTCCTTGGAATACGTTGACATGAGTTTGATTGACCTTGGCAAGGCGGTTGATTGGCATAGACAACTGAGCAACCTTCCTTCCCTTTCAGAACTACGTTTGTCCAGCTGCAATCTCCAAGGGCCGATTTCTCATCAGCTTGCCAATCTATCGAGCCTTCGTCGTCTCGATCTAGGATTTAATGATGTACTGATGACAACCAGATAAATGGAGACATATCGAACGTGTTCCTAAACTCTAGTGTTGTTGATATTAGTGCTAATCGTTTTGAGGGTTCATTACCACGTTTGTCTCCAAATGTTAGAATGTTGAACCTTGCAAACAATTCTTTCTTTGGACCCATTTCCTCATTCTTGTGCCAAGAGATGAATGGAGAAAGTATGTTGGAGGTTCTGGATGTATCAAATAATATATTATTAGGTGAACTTTCTCATTGCTTGATGCATTGGCAACATCTGACCCATGTGAACGTGGGAAGGAACCACCTATCTGGTAAAATTCCAAACTCATTGCGAAACTGCACCTATTTGAGGCTCATTAATTTAGGTGGAAATGAATTTACCGGACTCATTCCGAGTTGGATTGGAGAAATTTTAGGCTTGAAGGTTCTCAGCTTAAGATCCAATAAATTTATCGGCAATATACCGTCACAAATATGCCAACTTTCTGGGCTTATAATCCTTGATCTTGGGAATAATAGCCTATCCGGACCGATACCAAAATGTTTGAAGAATATCAGTGCGTTGACTAGCACAAGTTCTACATATCATAACAAATTGGAAATGGGAAGTGCTATTGGTAGTATTCCATTTGCAGTCTACATAGATATTCTCTCGTTGGTGACAAAAGGGAGAGAATCAGAGTACAAGGATATCCTTGGACTTGTTACGAGCATAGATCTCTCACATAATAATTTATCTGGTTCAATCCCAGATGATTTTTCTAGTCTCGATGCGTTGCGATTTTTAAACTTGTCTCATAATAAAATTACGGGAAAGATACCGGAGAACGTTGGAGGCATGACAATATTAGAATCCCTTGATATCTCGAGAAACCATCTTTCTGGTGAAATTCCTCAAAGCATGTCGAATTTGACATTTCTGAGTTACTTGGACTTGTCATACAACTTCTTTAATGGAAGAATTCCTACGGGCACCCAACTTCAGAGTTTTAATGCAACTAGCTACATTGGCAATGCTGAACTTTGTGGAGCCCCTCTCAACAACAATTGCACAAGAGAAGAAGAATCTCAAGGTCGAGGTGTGACGTCAATGGAGGAAGAGGAAGAAGAGTATGGAATGGTATGGTTTTATATTAGTATGGGTCCAGGATTTGTGGTTGGATTTTGGATTGTTTGTGGTACTCTTCTCCTCAAAAGGACATGGAGGCATGCTTATTTTCAGCTTCTTGATGATATGAAAGACCGGATCTATGTGGCTATATTGATAAAGGTGAATTGGCTCCGCAGCAAGTTCAAGAGATCTAATGAAACATGAAGACCATCATCATCTTGTACAAGGTTTTGCTTCCACATTTCTCTCCTTTTAATTTTTTATTTTTTCCTTATTGTAGTTGCTACTCTGTTCGTGCTCTTTATCTATTTACTAATATACTGTACACTTGGTAGTCTATTTTTGTAGTCATGCTAATGTTATATGAATTATCACTTAAATATAAATTAACTTATATTTGTTATGCAAAAACCCTTCTAACACAAATAGATGAAAACAACAATAACAAGGAAAAGGAAATAATTTTTTTTGAAATATCCACTTAAACCAAACCCTCTCTGATTCAGTAAAACCAAAATCATTTTGACTACTGATCAAGCCTTTGGTTTTGAAAAAGTACACCACAGCCTTTGGTTTTGAAAAAGTGGACTGGTTTAGTTCTAAGTTCCCTCAGAAAAACTAGGAAGTAATTTTCTTTCAAATGTAAAGATTGTGTGTTGAATTGGACATTTGGTTAAATTTATTTTATTGCAGATTGCCGATACAATGAATAATTCCGTGCTGGACATTTTGGATCAACCGGGAGCTAGATTTTGAATGTGGTTGTGGATCTATTCGCATTCATGCACGAGTTCAACAAACAATAATACAATAATATATAAGAAATATATCCAACTCAGTTGCGCATGAAGTGATATCATGCTTTATCATGAGTCACATTCAAGCAATCTGAACCAGTGAAGAGTTATGCTCTGAGTTTGCTTTTGTTTAATACCTTTCTCATTTGTTTTTGAACTTTATTGGGAATTTAATTATTGGATAACTAATTAACTCTCATTACCATATAAAGCAATATGAGCGTACATCATTATGTAAAAACATTTTAAGAATTGGTTTAAGATTTATGAAGTTGAGCGAATTAATTTTTAACGATAATTATGGTGAAGTATTCATAAGGTGAAGTATATATAAATATTCTCCAATTGGTAACAAAAGGGAGGGAAATGAGAAGAACCGAAATATAGATATTCTTCCTTTCTTTTAATAATATCTTTTTCATATTTAGAAGAACCTATTTTAAAATTCTTTTCACCCAAAAATATTAAGGGTCATGCCAACATGTCTCTCAATGCTTATCACCATAGTTACTAAAACCAACTATTACATATGAATAAATAAAAATTGGTGTCAATTATATAACTTTACCCGTAACTACCTAAGTATTTCATTTTTCACTCCAAAATAAAAAATAAAAAAATAAAAAATAAAAACTTGTAAATCATTTGACCCAAAACTTGTATTTTCGAATTCTATTTACCTAGAATTTTCATGAACTGTATAATTCTACATATTTTACTAAAAGATTACATATATACTTAAGATATGGAAAAGGAGATCTATTTTCTTGCTTAGAAAAAATATGACATTTGCAAAAATAAAAACTCAACTCTTCTAAAACTTTTTTTTTTATTTTTTTGAAAGGTAAATGTTAATTGCATTAGAGTAAGTGTACAAGGCCCCAAACTCCGGCCCATGTGAGGAATGATGACGCATATACAAGGCATAATTTTGTAGATATTTTGTTTAAATAATGAAAGAACATAGTGGATGTGTCTACGAAGACCCTTTATCTCTATTCTTAAAAGCCCAAACAGCCTGCTAAATTCAATCAATGTCTGGCTTTTAAGGTTCACAAAAATTTGTCTTGTCAAACCTTCTCCTCAGCAAGCACATAAAAAATAATAATGTGAGGAATGATGACGCATATACAAGGCACAATTTGTCCAAGCCCAATGTTAAGACAAACAGATTATACAAACAAGTGGCCCAAGCCTAATCCATAGTACCAATTCTGCTACAAACAGATTTTTCTGACTTAAATTATTATAATAAAAAAAGAGTGTATCCTATGTCACACAATCTTTCTCAACGGGTATCGTTCTCACGCTTCAAACGCGCTCTCGCTCTTATACTCTGTGCGCATTCTGATTCAAATTCTCACTATTTATGATTTAATTTTGTCGCTCTTACGCTCTCGCTCTCGAATTTGCTCTCGCTCTCGCTCTCGCTCCCTCTTTATGTAATTTACGGTGTACCATTAAATATTATTTATACTATATTTGGATTTCCAACTAACTTTTAGACCTATATAAATCTGGTTTTTTTCTTTAAATTTATCCGCTATATATATATTTGAAAATTATATTGTGCATTCATTTTATTGGTTTTCATTTTATACAGATTTGTTAAAGAGACACTACGAGAAATAATGCCTAAATTTTTTATTTTTTTTATATATATATTATTTATGCCTACATGTTTTTCTTCTTATTTTTTTTTTAATATTTTAAAATGGTTTTTTTCTATAAAAAAAAAATATATTCCTTCTACGTGATTAATGTGAACTTGACAGTCTAGTAAAATGTTAACATATTAAAAAAAAATAATAGAAGTCTTAATTTATATGAATGATGTCGTTAGATTGTTTAATAAAAAAAAATCAAGACGCATCTACAAAATAGATTTTCAGATAGGCCTATTGGATATTTAAGTCAATTTCTATTTCAATTCCCTTTCATCTAACGTCCGTTTGCTAAGTCACTCCCTTAGATAATTGAGGGGGTTTTTTAGCAAAAAAATTAGAGAAAGGGGATTTAATAAAAAAATACAAATAGAAAAGAAGAGTTTAATGTAATTTACTCTAAAATAAATAAATAAATAAATAAATAAAGTTGAATATAGTTAGTTGTATGTTCCTAAGTTTTTAATTTTTATGCTAATGTTAGTGTTGTGAGTCAATCTTCAAAGTCCTGTGATCATTGTCAGCCTCGAAAACAGAAAATGACACTACGCAGCAGGGCAGAGCCAGAAATATTGATTTGGGAGGCGAACTAAAAAAATAAAAGTGACTATAGTGCTTGAGATTCCCAAAATTATAGAATATGGGCAAATTAGTACTACGTAATTAAAAATTTACTAATCAATATCGTAATATATTTACTAATTAATCGTAATATAAGTATAATACTATTATATATATATATATATATATATATATATTACAATATTATTGATCATCAATGGTTCAGCTGAAAAAAAAAGTGTGCAATTAATATGGTCAAGGTAGCCATTCCAATCTTTGAAAAGGTTGGCTCCGGCTTACTCTTTTCAAGATTTTTTTTATTCAAAAGTTGGCTATTCCAAGCTTTGAAAAGATTGGATATGCCTTCAAAAGTACCTATGCATATAACTATATATATAGATATAGGCACACGCGTATAAGCAAAAAACACGTGATCACATGATTTTTTTTACTTCTTAATTTATTTTTAAGTGTTATCTTATTTTAGTATTTAGTAGGGGTGACCACGGATCGGATTAGGCATCATTCCTAATCCGATCTGCTCACAACGGATTGGAAAATGTTGAATCTGCCACCAATTCATTAGTCCACGGATCAGATCAGTGAAATGACGGATCGGATCGGATCCAATCCGCGGACTAAACTTTTTAAATTACTCTATTTTTAATTTTTTGCCAATTTCATATTCAATTACAGAAGTGTAAAATAAAACATAGATTAAACCAATTTAAATGCATAATAACAAAAATAATCAAACTGTAAAATATTGCATAACCAAGAGGATAGTAGTTATCCAAATTATCCGAAAAAACAGTAGGACTATGCCAATATTACATAACAGTAGCAGTGAAGTGAAATAAAAAAAGGGATAGCAAATCCATATGCCAAATATTACATAACCAAAGGTCCAAAAATAGCAGTGAACCACATAGGCCAAAAAAATAAAAAGGAAGTAGCAGACTAGCAGTGCAGTGAAAAAAAAGGGATAGCAGAACAATCTCTATGAATCTCCTCAAACCGTAGACGATCAGTAAATATTTACCAAAAAAATAAAAAAATAAAAAACGTCAGGTATGTGGCACACGGATTGCTACGGATAGAGTTGATATATATATATATATTACGGATTACCCACGGATTGCCACGGATCGGATTCACGGATCGGATCTGATTTTTGACAGCCCAATCCGTGATCCGATCCGTGGACTACGGATTCAATTTTTTAGAATCCGCCACCGATCCGTGGGTCTGGTAATCCGATCCGATCCGTACGGATCGGATCAGGTTCGCGGATTGGTGAATTTTTTGCCCACCCCTAGTATTTAGCTTCATATTTTATTTTTTTCTTAAGTTTTTAGAGATAGTCCCAATATAGGATCATTTTTAGAATACAATGGCGGATTTACACATAAATAGATAAAATTTCAATTTTCTTGTAACAACTGTGATTTTTTTTTTAACACTATATATATATATATATATATATATATATATATATATATATATATAAAGGAGATAAAGCTACGATCAGGAATGACTAGTTTATTTGACGTACGTTATTTAACGGAGATTTTTTTTACCTACGTTGCTGTTCCAAGAATTATTACGCGTTCGTTGTTGTGGAGCGAAGAAAAACTCAAGTAGTATTTGCATTTTAGGCAAGTTAATTCTTGCTTATATCCTATATATAATTACATGATTGATTGTAGGATGATTATCACTCATGATGTTTTATTTTGGTTAGAGTAGTAGAAATCGTATATATAAGTCTTGAATCTGGAAGTGACTTTTCTTAAATTGCAAAGCTGCTATTTGTTTCATTTGCAGTCTAGATCTTATCTACAAAAATAGATTGTTTCTTTATTATGGGTTTTCCTGTAAAAAGAGATGGTGTTACTAGTATGATTTATAAAGTATGGTAAGAGGGCTAGTTGGTGGACTACTAAATGTTAGTCATGTTAGGCGAGAATCTGAATAATAAAGCATTATTTTGATGATATGAATTAACGATTTGGTGTAATTATATAATTTAGAGATTAATGAAATTTGATCATTGGGTGTGGGTTATAATTGAATGTCGACCGGATATATTTATATATATATATTAATCACCTCATAGATTGTTTACATGGGTGAATTTATCATTTTATTCTGGGAACAGGTGCATTTTTTTAAAAATATATGTATATATGATTACATAGGTCAGTAAGCGTTGAAAGAAGTATAGGAAATACATGTTACCTGGTACAGAGATAATTGTTTGTAATGATGGTGCTAGGCCATTACGAATCTTTGCCAAAATTTCTTGCACGCAATGAGATTGTTGATTGTTTGATACATGGGAAAGATGGAAACATTGGTAATGATGGTGGCGGACCACTAAAGGACCATGTGATCAAATTAATTGGGTGCATCACAGGAGTGTTTTTTTATGAATTCCGTCTTTGGAGTTTCATTACAGAGGGTGGATTTAGGGTCACTTATGTGTGTACAGACTACAAACAGAGTAATATATATTTTGTATGTTTGGTCAATTGGCTACGAAATAGTAAAGAATCAGTTCTGGCATAATAGGATAAGAATGGGTATTGAGGAAGATGAGCATAGTCTGTAGCAGAATAATTTGAATAATGTTGACGTTGAAATTTAGAGTATAGGTTTGCAACTTATTGTAATTAGGATTATGAGTTGGTATGTTAGTATTAATTAATTATTAATTAAGGTGTTTGAAACTCATGATATTATGAGTCAAAATTATCTAAATGTATTTAGTGTTTAATTGATGAGATTGAACAAGTTGGAGCAGTAGTTTGTGACTTATACAATGGTGAGGTTGTTGAGCACAGTCAGGGACTGTTTTCGGGAGTGAAATTACTCTTTTGTTATAGCCATTGGGCTAAAGGTGCCCTTAGTATGTGGATGTGGTTAGGGACCATTTGAGTAGACGTACAACCCAGCCACATGTGTATATTTGGTAGTCAGGAATTATGCAATTCACACCATTTATTCGAAGTGGAGCCAGGGGCTCATGTGAGGTATTGGCATTAGAACGCCAACTGGTTGAGGGGAGCCAGGGGCTCATGT